ATATTTAATTTTTTCTTACTTTTTAATATATTCGAGGTTTAAGATAATACCAGTATAAATTCTTGTTGAATTTAAAGCTGCGCATATTAGGTCACTTGTTGGCAATATTAGGTAGGGCGTCCATTAATACGTGGCGAAAAACCGACTCTATGCTACACACTTTAACAGATTTAATAAAACTTCAGAATTCATGTTTAAAGGAACATTTAATAGTTTATTATTATTATTATTATTATTATTATTATTATTATTCTTAATATTATGATAAATAAAAAGTTAAAGTTTATAAGTTCACCAACAAAAACTTATTTTAAATACAAATAAAATATATACTAACAAAAAACTTGACAACTATGAACTTTTTAAATAGAAATACGAAAAACAACAAAAGCATACAGAAATTTCAAAGTTTGTTGATACCTTCATGCGTCAAAAAATAGGATTGTGATCTCATAGCCAACTACATTTTTAAATATTTTGATATTTCTTTATTGTTTTGATGCAAGATGAAACGAGCATTTTAAGAGGAACATTTTTAACCAAACTTTATGGACCAAAGTAAACAACGCTTTTTAGTTAACTTTTTTTTATAGATTTATTTATTCAAATTTGTTACCTTGGTTAGTTAGCTTATAATCTTATTTTTGTTAGATAGCTAGATAATTAACCATTTGACCAAAGACTAAGGAGATGATGCAATATTCAATCAGTTTATACAGGGTGTCCCAAATAGGTGGTTCCGTTTTGGCAAATTTGTAATTTGTAATTTATTTTATATTTAAATTTAGTCTACTTACTTTTTGAGATATTCGAGGTTTAAGATAAAACTTAATAAATTCTTCAATTTAATAAATTTAAAAAGTTTGATGAGTTGGGTTTTTTAGTCAATTTTGTCATATAAATATTTAAGATGTTATTTTCTTTTTAAGATATTTTTTACCTACATGTTGATATTTGGCATTTAGAAGGTTATATACTTGTACATACTCTCTATAATTATATATTGAGCTTGTCCAAAACATATCTGTAACTTTGAAGTTAAAAGTTTGTAGTTTGTATTTAAATATTGGAAGTTTTTGTAGGTATACAGATTTGGCGGAGTATGAGTATTGCGATCTCGGAGACTATTAGAGATACAAAACCTGCCAAATGGAGAGAGTTTTAGAAAATTTACCTGTACTTTTTATTTTAGATTTTAAGAGCTTTTGGTAACCCAAATGCAATGAGGTATCGCGATTTTTGAAAAAAAAAAATTCCTAGTAAAAACCTGCCTAAAATCCGTATTTTGTTTCGTTAATCTTGGGTATATCAATATTGAAGTATTTTTGTTGTACAGTGTCCATGAAAAAAACAATTTTAATTTTCAACTCCCAGCACATTTTTTATATAAACTTTTGCATTAAACGAAAAATAACTGTTTTGAATTAGATACTTCAACCCAAAAATATTCTGTCACAGTAGATGCAGGTTTAGTTTTTTCAAGTGATTACTCAATCAAGACTCATTTGTAAATTCCATGTTCGATTGGAAACGTTGTTGTCGCGCGATGCGCAATTATTGAATAAAAGCATAAAAGGCATCCTATTGTCCGGAAAAATGTGATTATTGAAGAATGTAATTTCAAAAAAATTTAGGCCCAGAGTTGAAGTGGAACAAAAAAATTGTTTGGGAGACAATCCTCATATTTCATTATTTCAAGCTGTCTCAAAAATATTAATTTTCGTTTTTTTCATTAAAACTCCTGGTTTTTATTCCGCAAACATTTTAGCCCATGGTTAACTTTTTGGTTTAGAATTCTGATTTAATATATTTGACTATTAGTAAAGAAATTATGATGTACAGGGTGCGGCAAAATGATAGGTACTGTTTGGGAGAAAAACCAAAGTACATTAAGCAAACTTTTTTTTTTAATTATTTTTGAAATGTACATTTTATGCCATTTAGGAACGTTATTTTTTAGAAATGACGTCTTTTAAATGACGGCCATTATTGTCGATGGATCATTTCTTGGGGAATTGAGGCAATTTCTTGTCTTATGACTGCCTTTAATTCTTCCAGTCCGCGGACGATGTGTGAAACTCTCGCTTTCAGGTAACCCCAAAGAAAAAAGTCGCAAGGCGGCAAATCAGGCGAACGTGGCGGCCAATCAAGATCACCCCATAAAGACACCACTTGGTTTAGGAACATTTCTTGAAGAAGATTTAGTGAACGATGCGTTCTGCTGGAACCAAAGATGTTCTTTTTGATCGTTGTTCGACTCGTTCACTTTTGGACGCAGGAAATTGTTAAGCATATCAAAATATCGATCTCCGTTGACTGATTCCGTTATTCCATCTTCTTCGAAAAAGTAAGGACCCCACACGCCGAACTCCGAGATTGCACACCAGACGGTGACTTTTGGACTGTGGAGAGGTCGCTCATGAAGTTCCTGTGGACTATTTGCTGACCAATAACGGAAATTTTGCTTATTTACGGTACCCGAGAGGTGAAAGTGAGCTTCATCGCTAGACATGAATACAGCGCATGCATTTGGAGTGAGTTGTGTAAAATTCTTCGAACACTTCTATCGGGAATTCCCAAAGCAGCTGCATGCTTACGAGCTGAACGCCTTGGAGACTGTTGTACGTAAAACCCATCGACGAATTGTTCTTCCATCCGGAACCGCGCCATGCCTCAAACTGATTACGAAAGGCGCGCTGCGTCGCTATTACAGATTCCCCGTTTCTAATAAACTCCTCAACAACGAAAGCACGATGCCTCTGCTCGTGCCGTGTCGATAACTGGAAATTGCATACTTTTGTCTGCATAACGCGAACCACAACAAACCGAATAACCACTATTTGAAATGCTGCCTATCTTTTTGCCGCACCCTGTATATGTCATCATCATTCGTTGATTGCAATTGTTGTCAAACTATTTCTCAATTTGAATCGACAGTCAGCCTCATATGGGAACAACACAAAATGATTGAATAATGTACGTGGCGCTTGTAGTTTCAGTACAACCGTATAATTATTAGATTGTATTATTATGTTTTGGAATTTGCGAGCTGAGTTAAATAGATAGTGTGAAAACTAGAGATAGTATTCATATCGTGTGATATGTCCTTCGAAAATAATAGCTAACATTAAATATTGTTTCTGTGGATAATGTTATTACAAAATATCTATCTTTTTGAAATCTGTTACTGTAATGCTTGTTGAAACTCGTGTAACACTGATAAACCAAGTACCAATGGGTTATTAAAAGCCGAACAAGAGACAATTGTACAAAAATTTACTGCACAAGTTTCGAACCACAGGATAATTAAAAATTCAAGACAAATTTGAAATTATTAGCTTGGACCGCAGATCAAGAGGTTGTGATAGTACAAATGTTAAAATTAGGTATGAGTTTAACAGTTAAAAAAATTCTTTAAAAAATTTTTAGTAGAACACATTTTTATTATTTTATGTTGTTAATCTTTAAATAAATAATATTTTATTAGCTTTAAAATGACCATAACGTAACGGAGCCACTAACGTTTAATTTAACTAACCAAAACTAAACTACCACAATAAGTTCTCCTATTATACTATGTCAAAAAAGTACCTAAATAATGTTGTGCCGATGCTTGTAAACATGTATAGAGTGATCGATTTAGTTTCAATTTGGCTTCATGAATAAGTTTTACGTAATAGAACACTCAATTTTGGATACAAGCTCAACAGATGATTATTCTATCATCTTTTTGAGGATGTACCTACTTCTTCGCATTGCTTTGTAATTACCGTATAACAAGCATAGACAACTTAACCCTTCATACTCCACTGTATGTTTATTCAGTACCATAAACAGCGAAATTTAACGCTATCATGTGTACAAGGCTTAAATTTCACAAACCAACCTGCAGTTTGCCCAATTTTTTTTTGAAACAACGATTTCCACATACTTTACTTTGTTTGTAAAACTTTACAGCTGTCATGTTAAACGCAGCAAGGTCTTGGCAGCAAAAATCTAGGTTTGATTGACTTACGCTTACCCATTTTACGTATCCGTCATCAACGTTATTATTTGATGTTTGCAGTTTCAACGTTTATGGTAATTCCATAATGTAATACTAAATGAATTACAACAAAATTAAAAAATACATTTCTTGTTTCTTGTTCAAGTGCCGTGTCTTCCCAGAACATTGGTGATCAGTCGTATGATCTTCACTTTATGCGCAGCAGATCTAAATAATGTGGTGATGCTTACTCCATACCACTGACGAAGATTTTTGAGCCAACACGTTATTCGGCGACCACGTTTTCCCTCTATTTTTCCTTTCATGATTATATGGAGCAAATTCATATTTTTTACTCCTCATTACGTGGACAAAATACTCCAGCTTTTTTCTTTTAGTGGTATTAAGTACCTTTCTTTCTTTGTTCATATGTAGCAGAACAGTTTGATTCGTCACTCTGTCCACCCATGACATCTTCAACAGTCTCCGGTAGGCCCACATTTCGAAAGCCTCAATCCTCTTATACATGGCTTCGGTGAGGGTGCGTGGTACCATGCCGTAGAAAAATATGCTAAAGACATAGCTACAAAATTCTTAAGGCTCTTAAGGAGTGCCTGAAATGAAACGAAAAAGTCAAAATATCAAGAAGTCAAAATAAACTAATTTTTTCCATTATGTTTACAAAGGATTGTAGACACTTGCAGCATGCTATAAATTTCTGAACAATACCAAGAACTCACTATGTATTGTGGAATGTACTAGCAGCGCACTGCATTCCAAGAATGAATCGACCATAATGTGAAATATATCTGTTTATAGGAAAACATAGTCATATTTATTTTTTTTTAAGTTTACTGATAAACTGACCAAAAATATCATATCCCATTTTCTTTATCAAATAACTAAACCGAAACCCGCATCGTATAAACCGGTATCTAAATTTTTATCACCGAAAGGTTATCAAATTTGGCGCGAAACGAGCGATTATCCATCGCAACTCTACTTCAACTGTCACAGAAACCGTCAACGTAAACTTGTTCAACGCTAAGACCTTGATTATCAATTCGCGCGGAAATATTGCCTCGAATCGTTTTACCGATCAAGCAGTCGACCGAAATCATGACATCAACCGATACGTATTTCGTCGGCGTTGATGTCGGTACCGGTAGTGTTCGCGCCGCATTGGTCACCGATTTTGGGAAAATTTTAAGATGTGCCGTGGAATCAATAAAGACGTGGAACCCCCAGCCGGATTACTACGAACAGTCCTCGGATGATATTTGGAACGCTGTGGTTAAATGTGTCAAGGTGATTGTCATTAAACAACATTTGATTTTTGTATGCGATAATATTGAACGTTAAAAGGTTTGTTGCAATGAGACAAAAAAAATATTTATTCAGTGCTTTGATTGTACATACACCCAGCTCCCATGTAGCACATGATTCGATGGTGTAGTGTTTTTACGATCATTTTAATGTGACAATTTAATCAATTCATGCCATGTTCTTTTTTTATAATAAGGCTGTCCACGAGTTGAATTTTAACACATTATCCCTGCCAAACGTGAAGGTTTTGCAAGAAAACTGCCAAACACAGTGGTGAAAATTGGTATCAACAAATAGTCTTCGATTTTACATAAATCCAAATGCCGTATGATCATGATATAGTAATAAGAATCGTTATATTATCGATTATGTCACTAAACATGTCCTTAAAAATATTTTCAATATTTTACGGACATAATACTTTAAACTTAAAAGTTCTTATCTTTGAATTCCAACTAATTCTGCTGGATGATCAATACTTATTCACTGAATTCTTCGAAATTCCATTGGAATTTCCTCCTACCCACTTCTTAGAATAGTTTAAATTTCCTTTTTTTTAAATTTAACTGTTTGCCTCATGGATTTGAAATTAAAATAACTTGGACCCAGTATCAGCAAAAATATCCCCCCCTAAATTAGAGACACGCGGAGATGCAATCAAAATACTTAAATTGACGCAAAAAAATGATAAGCATTCCTTTTCCGTCCTTAAAACTGTATCTTAAGTGGTTTTGTTCTATCAGTCCGACGGGTAAACTTAAAAGAAAATTATTTGAAGCACTTTTGCCTGGCATAAAAATTTGATCATTTACTTCAGTTATAAGACATTGCGCTTGAGACCTTCCTACGAAATAAAATGGTGTTTAAATTCTATAAAAAGAATTTCAATTACGAACCTATTAAACTCCACCATCAAACTGCACAAAGTGACCAAACGAACCAACAGTTTGATTCCAAAAAATATTTTCAAGATAACTACTGACGACGTTGATTGGTAATGAACTTATTAAATATAATATCATTAATTAGTAAGTGCACAAATGCCACTCACCTATTCAATTAAATACCGTCCTTGCTTAAAAGTATACAGTTTGAACAAATTTGTTTTAAACAGGTTTGGATGGTAGGATTAATAAATTCCTTATCAAGATTACTTTATCCGGATTTATAGTAGTCATGTGTGAGCCAGATAAATCGCATTGCCCTGAAAAGCAAGATAAACTTTAATTTGAAAAATTAAACATCTCGTAATCCATTGCATTTTAAATATTATGTTAATTTAATGGCATTTTTTATTTATATTTTCAGGTCGTCTCAAATGGCATAGATCCCAAAACTGTGAAAGGGATTGGGTTTGATGCCACCTGTTCACTAGTTTGCGTGGATAAGAAAGGCGATCCACTGACCGTCAGCTACTCAAGTGAATATTCCATTTATGTTTTCATTTATTTAATGTACATATAAATTTGTATTTTGTAAAATATTATGCGAAAAATAAGTTCTTTTTGAAAAGCAGACCTCCCAGATCGGTTTTGCTGTTTCATTTTACATTGTAAGTTCAATATGGAAACATTCAAGTTTGTATTGAAAAGTACTTGTTCCCATTCGAATTTCTGAACTTCTCGCTCCGTCCCCCTCTTCTAAGAAGTGGGTCAAATCAAACTTCTTCGCTGGTAAATTCTGGAATGTTCAAATATATACTTCCCTCTTATTCCTTAGATGAGAATGAGGAAATAAGAACGGAGTTTTCAAGAATACTTCCACAAAATTTAATTATTTCCTAATAATACATTATAAGAAATTTTACTGCCAAGCGAATAAATCTAAGTAGATTTGTAGCATTTTCTTTATGAATAAGTTATATTTCTATAACTTTTCGACCAGATTTGTTTAGATTTATGGAGAACAGGCCTTTTTTGAACTGATCGTAACTGAAATCAGGTGATCCTAGAAACACTCCCATAAAGGGTTATAAGATGTGTTGCTACAATAGAGATTCCATTGGAAAATAAATTCCAACAAAGTCAATGGAATTCATATCTCTAATCAAATTCAAACGTAAACTAGATTATATAGATTAGATAGATTTAATTTTCATAAAACAAGCGCATTCCAAAGAAAATTTACTTCTCTAAATAGAAAAATGAAAACTACTTACGGTGTCTGTTAATAAATTCATCTCGAGCGATTTAACATGAAAATACTCTTTTCAAGAAAGCAACGAACAAAACATAATCCTCTGGATGGACCATAGAGCGCTTAATGAAGCCGAACAGATAAACAGTACAAATCATAGAGTGCTCCAGTATGTTGGCGGGAAAATTTCGCTGGAAATGGAGACACCCAAATTGCTCTGGTTGAAAGCACATTTACCCGAAGTGTGGAAAAACGCGGGGTTGTTTTTTGATTTACCAGACTTCCTTACTTGGAAAGCCAGCGGGTCCGAAAGCAGGTAGTTTTTTTTTACATTTTATTTATCTTATAATGAAATTTGTCGCCTCAGATCGTCGTGTTCGCTTGTATGCAAATGGACGTACGAAATGAACGTCCATGGTGTCGAGAACTGGAACGAGTCGTTCTTCGAAGCAATCGGTTTGGAAGATTTAGCGCATGACAATTGGCGGAAAATCGGATCCACTGTATTACCGCCAGGTCACTTACATATATTTTATTCGAGAAATGTGCAATTACTTTTTCATTTTAGGAACTCCGGTAGGACAGGGGTTGTCAGAAAAAGGGGCTAAGGAATTAGGTTTGCTTGTAGGCACCCCAGTAGGAACATCCATGATCGATGCCCATGCAGGTGGATTGGGCCTGATTGGATGTAGAGCTGACAATATTAAAGCCGATTTTGAAACTAGAGTCGGTGAGATTGCAGATTTTCTCAATTTTACCATTTTCCATTACTTAAGAAGATGGTTTGATGAGCATGTTTTATTTTATTTATGTTTTTTCTTTTATCTACTTGTGTAGGTCTAATTTGTGGTACCTCTACGTGTCACATGGCTGTTTCTCGAGAACCTTTATTTACCCCTGGGATTTGGGGTCCTTACAAGAACGCTATGGTTCCAGGAATGTGGCTTAACGAAGGTGGTCAAAGCGCAACTGGAAAACTTCTAGATCATATTATAGACTCACATCCAGCGACGACCGCCATTAAAAACAAAATCGGAAACATGTAAATAACAGCACAAAAAGTACTAGCTTTAAATTTTCTTTTCGTTTCAATTATGATGTATACGTATATTCTTATTTATCGTTAGTTTTAAAATTTTTAGTGTAACCTAGTTAATTTCACAATGTTTTTTTTTGTCTTTTGGCTTCAATGTCAGAACAAACCACTTGCTGAACAAATTTTAAATTAACCGCTTGGTGTTGCACGTCTCCCAAATCGTAATGAAAAATGTAATCAAATTTTATTTGTCCGTTTTATGCCTATTATAGAAGAAATTTGTAGTTGTCAATTATTTTCTTAATACGAAATGTTATTCTGCTACCTTACACTGCTTCAAACTTTTGCATACTTATTACTCTCTATTTGTCTATATCTTCAAGGTTATTTAAATATTCAGAAATTGTATTTTGCTGAGTTAACCCTAGCAAGGCAATAAGATGTCTCCCAAACTTATTAGATATCGAAGTGAAATTTGACAGCCATTTTATTTTGTGATTTGTAGGCATATCCAAACTTACTTAAGTAATGTGTTACACGACCTAGCCAAGAAGCGAAATTTGAAATCTGTAGCATTTCTAACCAAAGATTTGCACGTGTGGCCCGATTTTCACGGAAACCGATCTCCTATAGCAGACCCATCTTTAAAAGGCATGGTATTCAAGGCTCTTTTAGTGAACTTCATTGAAATTACTGCGTTATTTTGTAAATACAGGTTTCTGGTTTATCCTTGGCCACTGACGAAGAGAGTTTGGCGCTACTGTACCTCGCAACAACTCAAGCAATTTCAGTAAGTGTGGCAACAGTTTCGCTTTCAGACAAAAAATGACGTCTATATTTATTTTTTTTAGTATGGTACCAGGCATATAATTCAGAGGCTCCGGAATTCTGGATACAAAAACATTAAATCGACTCTAATTTGCGGAGGCTTGAGCAAAAACCGCATATTTACGGAAACGCAGGCAGATGTTTGTAATTTACCGGTCGTTTGCCCTGAAGAAGCCGAATCTGTGTTATTGGGGGCTGCCATATTAGGTAAACGTTAAAATAAACACATTGTGCCTATTTTTACGTGAATTTTTGTTTAGGGGCCGTTTCTGCCAAACACTTTCCCACCTTGGAAAAGGCTGTTCAATCGATGGGAGGTAAAGGCATCGCCGTGTTGCCAAAAGCTGACGTTGTGGCATATCACGACCGAAAGTATAAAGTGTATTTAAAAATGTACGATGATCAAATGGCTTACAGAAAAATAATGCTATAATAACCGGAATTTGTAAGTGTATTCCCATATACACATCTTTTTGTAGCAAGTTTATCACTTTATGATATTCTTAAAATATAAAAACCCGAATATATCCCTTCTCGAGACGAAATTAATTTTTTCCCGAGACCTTTTTCAATTATCGTAAAATTATAACTTTCGTCTTTTTTACTTTCATTCAACAGGATCGCGGAGCTAATGTAAATGAAGCCGTTTCGTGTTGTATTGGTTATTTATATTGCTATCGAAAAGAGTGAAAAATGTGGTTGATCACTGTAAAAAGAGAAGGAGGTCACTACGGATTAAAGGTTGGCATGCTTGCATGGCAAATTAAGTGGATTCCAACAGAACAGAACAGAAAGATCTGTGAAACGTAGGGCTAAAGTAGCTGTAATTAGAATGGCCTTCTTCTACGCAGTTGGCGTAGGTTTCAAAGTGCCGATCACCAATAAGCAGCTCAACCTTTGTTCTCGCCCTAGAGTTGCCCTGATATTGTGTCTCTCAGTGGAGCACCACCATACCAAGACAATGCGTGCTCTTATCTTACCACCATCCACCAACACATCCGGATCATTTAATTAACGTGAACTGTCCAGGAGAACCGGTTTCATCGCCACGCCCTGCATTTTGTCGGATTTACCGACAAGCGTTTTTGTTTACACCCTTCGACAGTTCGATCAAAAGCACTTTGCTGAGCTCCGTTACGGTTCCTAGATACTTTCCTTTGATAAAAATATATAGATCGTCCGCGTAAGCCTGTGTGTAGTAGTCCTGGCTGTTTAAGTCTGCCAGAACATTATTCACCAGAAACGACAAGAAGAGAGGGGAAAGAACCCGTCCTGCGGGTCACCCCTCTTAGGGTCACGTCCAAGCGGCCACCACTGAGCATAAACCAGATCTTTGAGCCACCGCATCACTATAACTCTCTTTTCAGAAAGCGCATTGTCAACTCGCGATATAAGTTGATAAAGTGGTGTGGATTTCTGTACTAGATAGACAATTTGTCCATTAGTTGGGTCAAATTAGCAAAAACTTTCAGACTTATAATTATATAAATATTGTGTGACCGAGGCTGCGCCAATGGCGTCGAACATTCTTAGTTCATCTGCTATCCAACTCTTAAATCCATTTCGTGTATTTACTTAGTCTTGGTTGGTTGATCCTGAAAAAATAATATTAAATTTATCCCTAACGTCATCTTCCAGAAAATGTCGCCTTCGTTAACTGGAATTACTATTTTCTTCTAGTATTGAACCAGAAATAATTTGACGAAGCTATAAAGCAACGTGTAGACCGCCATTTATTTAGGATTAAGTTGAACTTACCCAAGTCAACACAAAATAACAAAATAGTAAAATAAACTACATTTGAAAATATACCACGCACTGAATACAGTTAAGTTTCCAAAAAAGGAAGTCAGGAAACCATCCATAAATAATTACACCCCGTCATCGTCATCTGCTAATGCTCGAATGGTAAACGTACGTCGTAGCTTTGATCGAGTCTGGCGAGCTTCAATCATCGAGCAACCGACCATACATAATAGAATTTGCAACCGAGTTAAAATGGGTCGAGTGTCGCAATTCCCCTGCTGACCTACAAACGAAGCATCCAGCAAAACACAACATCGGTTTCCAAATATGGAACTTTATGCAAATTGCTTTGTCATTTTTAGAATTGGGGTCTCTATAAATAAGTATTGTGGCATATTGTCGTTTTCATAAAAACGGACTTTTAGTCATCTACCAAAAATGTTTTTGTCCCCTATTTCCTTGACAGTGATTAAAGGAGCTGCAGTTTTGAATATTGTCGAGATTTCTTTTAAGAAATAGTATTTTAGATTTATTAGAAAAATTTGTGAATGGTGAATCTCTTTTATTCTTAAATCGTCGAGCTTATACTTGGCACTTATTTGAAAAAGCTTCTAACATACATAACATAGCTTACAACAACATTTTTCAAAGTATGGAAGATAGTAAACAATTGTTCTCATTTGAGTAAGCAAATATCGAAATAAAATAACACAACGCAGGGCAATACATGTAAAGACAAACAACACAACGCAATCATTTTGTTCGAACACGCGTTCGTCAGGTCCGTACACCATGTTTTTTGTCCGAACCGATCAGTGCTTTTGTTCTGCCGTTATATATACATATAGTGTCTGTCTGTCGTACTCCCAGATAAAAGGTTTTTTTCCCGAATAACTTCTTCACCTCTTTTTGTTCGTCGCCGAGGCTTTTAAAAGTCCCTAATAAATTTCTTGGGATACTGGAATCGATAGTCCACATTATCGACCAAATCATCCTCAAAGTGATTTGATGAGAGGCGAACCGTCTGGGCATTAAGTGTTATCGCATTTGCATATTGTAGTACAAGATCTACCGACGTTGTTTACCATAAACAACACAGGCTAAGTGTGACATAAATAAATCATTGAGTTGAACTTCGATAAACAAGATTTGGACGGCACAGGTACATTCACGGCTCTGTGATCGATAACTGAACCATTACTACTAAGCACATGTATGTATTATCGGATATTAACTAAAGTATTATCTAAGCAAAAACAAGCTGTGTTAAAAATCGAAACCGAAGTCCCGATTTATGTATGTGAAGATTTTCAGCGTTAGTTGGTTTGCTAGTCTATTAATTACAGACCATGTATTCATATGTATTGTATTCATATTGTATCTACCAACGAAAAGCGTCAAAACTGATTTAAGATAATAAAAAGGAAATTCATTATTAAAATCAATCTACTTGAAAAATTTAAGATGTGCATACATTTTTTGAACAAAAGATAAGGTTAAATCTTAATAGAAATTAGATGCTAGATGTAATACCTTTGATATTTACGAAATATGCATAAAAATGTTTATTTTTTCCAAAACTACGCAACCATATACAAAATTCATAGCCTCTTTAAGGGAAACCTAACGGAGATGATCACCGAAGGCACGTGAAATAATTTCCGGCTATATGACAGCGCTTACGCGTTGGGTTAATAAAAATATGTATTTTCATTCTCATTTTAAATATCGGTAGTTGTAGCATATACCAGATCACATTACACAAATTGTACTTACCTATTACGTGGGAAATAAAGGAATCATCTACAAAAAATATATATCAATGAGTGTTTAAATTATTCATGTTTGATTAGCGGCAATCCAACACATTCCAAGTATTAAGCACGTACGTAATTTTCAGAATCAATATTACGATATTTGATTGACAGCTAGTCCCGTCTGTAAAGTGATTAATTACACACCACTCTAGCGTGCCGGAAGCGTCACTTTACCACCTTCGTTTCCCACGGATCTGAGTCACTTCGGATATTTCCGGGATTTTACCGCACGGGTTTGGGAGCAATCGGATGTTTTTGGACATATTTCCTACGCCTTGAATTGTGACGTTTGTCACATTTTTGTCAGTGAATTTATTCGTGTTGTTTTGCGAAAATATACCCAAAAACTAGCAGTCGTAGAAAATGGTATATTATGCAACAAGTAGGTCAAATGCCGTTTACCGCATTTGTTGAATAATATACTATTATTTTATTAGTCCTGGAAATATTATATTGATACATAGAAAAACAATCATTGATGGTTTAGAGAGGAGCTTAAATGGCAACGTGAGGTCTCAATGAGTCACTTGCATTGATTACTTGAAAAGCAAAGATATGTGAAGGCCCTGGCGGCAGTCCTGTTGATAATACTTTTGAAGCCACCATGAAAAAAAAATGAGGAAGGTCATTGAATATATTTTAAATATAGTTTTTTAGTAGACCTAGCGGTGTTCAACAAGCAACAGGGCCGCTGACATTTTCGTCAATAGTTTCACAAAATATGCCCAGATCCCGTTAGGAGCTCAGAGTTTTAAATATCTACCGATAATATCCGAATTGGCGTTTACTTTTGCTGAGGTTTTAAAATGACATTTTGCGCAAACAAACAATAAGATAAATAAGAAATTGACGTCTCACAAAAGAGGACCAATATCGGTGATAAACTTTTTATTCAGTCACTAACACTCCGTTGAGGAACCCAAGCTATTTTCTGTTGCCGCCGAACCCCAAGAGATGCAATTAATTTTGTAAAATCCAGAAAACCTCTTGAAAGCATTTACTAATTGGCTTTGAAGTTTCAAGAGAGCTATTAAGGGATATAGTTCCATAAATTTACTAAACTTTTGGCAAACCACACACCTCAGAATAAGTTCATAGGTTCATAGGTTAATTGGTTATAAAGTTTGAAGTTTGGAAATATATGTATGCAAAACACATCTACTAAAATTGCGACCTACATAAAAGCGAAATACAGGAAACCTTTTCAAACTTATGTCGCGTAATTTTTCAAATAATCTAAATCAATCGGATATATCAAGGTTATCGTATCTTGTCTGAAAACTGCCATTAAGAACATTTACTCAGAACTAGAATGACTAAAGCAAGCATTAAGGGGCATTTAACTAAATTGCCCCTATATGGTTCTTATACCTTTTGGAATTTAGTTCAACTTATTGGTGAGCAGACTCAGTGCCCGGGGTATTACAGTATCCCTTTAAATGATTTCTTCGAGATATGTTTAACTTTGATACTTAGAGATAAACTAAAGACATGTCCACTTTAACTTCTATGCTATACTTCCATAACAACTATGTTGGTTATGGTGCATAAAAAAATAAATACGCCTAGAGTTACACAATATCATAATTTAATTTTAAAAAACTCGTTTCAATAAATTTGTTTGAAACTTTGACCGATTGTTATTCATATTTATTCCCTTCCGAAATGTTCGTAAAGTATATTTATATTTACTGGGTGTTGTAATTTCAATGCGACACCCCGTCAAGAACTAACAACACGAATAACGTGTGATGAATTTAAAATGTAATCTTAATTTTAGTTTCAGCAAAACGCGCGTCGGATAAAGGAAATTGTATTTCCGTTCCGAGAGGGAGACATTTTGTTTAACCCTTAAACCGATCTTTAGATCTGTCGGCAAAATCATTTAACTTTAGCCACTATTCGGAAACTCTTTCGCGAGAACTGTTTAAATTACCATTTTGTAGTCTATCTCGGAAAACTTTCGACCAGTT